ATAAATTGTTCTAATTCTAAAATATTTTTAGGTAATCTTAATTCTACATTTCTTTTAACAATAGTCCAAAGATTTTCTATAGGATTTAAGTCTAAACTATTAGAAGGCCAATCTATAATTTTAGAAAAATTTTCATTAACAAATGTTTAGTAATTTTGCTTATATGTTTTGAATCATTATCATATTGAAAATAAAAATTATTTTCAAGCAATTTAATAATTTTTAATTTATGGTTTTGCAAAATATTAATATAAAATTTTGCATTTATAATTTCTTTAAAACAAAAAAGAGAAGTTTTTTCTTTTATACAAAATTCTCTCCAGTCAAAAATTTTGATTCAATCTTTAGATATTCTTTTAACTGGTCTTGCATTTGTATACCATTGAATAATTGTATTTTTGAATAGTTGAAATGTTGTTTTATTAGAAAATAAAGTCTTTTTCCAATTATAATTAAAATATTTCTTTACCCAAATAACATGAGCTTCTTTATGAGCTGTAATAAGCATAGGAGTTTCTAAAAGTAGATTATTTTTATAATCCAAGCTTGTTAGATATCTTGAAATTGTTATATGAGATACTTTAATATCCATATTTAACAATTTAATTGTCAAAGTTTTTGTAAAAAGTCTTGAATTATGGTGTAAGTATTGATCAATTGCTTTTGATTCATGTGCAGTAATCTTTTAGGTTGACTTCTATCAGATTTTCTTGAATTATTTCCTTTGAAATTTAATTTTTTAAGATTGTAATAAATAGTTGATATGGTTATGCCAGTTCTAAAATATATTTCATTTATAGAAGTAATTCTATTCTTTCACAAATATAATATAGTTTGACATTGTATATATTTTTTAGAAAATAACATTGTAAGAATAAGTTTATAAAAAAAATAAAACAAGTTGAGAAATTTAATAGTATATATATATTTGTTAAAATATGTTGTTTACATGTTTAAAATTTCATGTGAATTACTTTTGTTTTGAAAAAGATATTTATATTTATGTCATGTAAATAAAATTCCAAAAAGTTTTGTTTTACACTGTATATATTGTATATATATTCATATTCATACTTATACTCATACTTATATTATATTATATAAATATATATTTAAATAGCATTAAATATAAATATTGACAGTTTCCTTAAATGATCAAAAAATATAATAAATATAGAGTAGTGCATAGCAAATTACCATCTCAAACATTCTTCTACATCAAAAATACAATAAAATAAATATCGCAAAAATCCGACAAAAAAAATTATATAGATTCATTAATGTATTTGTTTTATTGACTTTAATATTTTGTTTTTTTTATATTAATAATAAAATAAAATAAGTTGCAAAAACAATCAAAGATTATATTTAACCGTATATGTTACAAGACTATTCATTGATTTATTTTCGCGCTTCTCCGGAAAATGAGAAATAAATCATAATTAACTAATAAATGTTTTTCATGTATATAAAACTGGATATTTATTCTGTATACTGATGAATTTTTTTGAAGTCTCATTTGTAAATATAAATTGCTATAGTAATAAAATGTAGAACTACTAAGAGAAATATCAACATGCCTGACATCGATATATATGAGTAGTTTTCTTAAAGTGACAAAAGTGATGGTTTTTGAATTTAATTTCACATGCAATCAGTTCCATTCTTCTAGGGCATTTGTAATAAAGAATATTGATTCCCCCAAAACTTGTCTATTCAGTAGTACCTTTAATCTTTCGTTTTATTACCGAATGTAAAATTGTAAACTCGAATTTTACTCAACATATCCTGTAAGGAATCGAACAAGAACAATCTTCCTTCGTCTAACATGATATACTGTATAAGAGAAAAACTTCCTGATCCAGGAGCTCATGGAAATATTCTGACCAGAATAAGCATCTTAAAGAATATACTCATTTAAAATTTTCTGATCGAGTTCTCCATGAAAAATATTACTATAAAACTCTCTTGATCCAACAAACTGCGACCGATTCATCAACAAAATATTATTTTCGCAAGAAACCCTTATTAGTTTTTTATATAAAAATATTTTGAAGGCTTAATTCATGTCCCGATACAACAAACCTTTCCAAATCCTTGATAAGAACTTAATGCAAAAAAATATAATTCTTTTATAGCCTCGAAGCCCTAAAGTGTACTAATTTCAACGATTCGCTACCTCTCAAATTAAGGATTGATTAGTGCGCCCTTCCATCACGGGTTTTCAAACACTAGCTCATCAATTTTTTCTAGACAAATATAATTTAATTGAAGTAGTTCTAATATCTCATTTTCTATTTCTCTTTATGCGTGAAACAGTAACAAATTGAAGAAACTTGTGCAGCACCTGTGAATCGATATGTTCTGTGAACAACTCTAAATGTGTAGAAATTATCCTACACAAGACTTTCATCGCCACACGTGATACATCATAAACCACAAAGCTATCTTATAAACATTCTTGAGTCTTTTCAATACATAAGTAACATTGTATGAATAACAGAGTTTTCTTGACGTGGTATAGAAGCAAATCTTCTCGCATCAAACAGATTACATGGCAAAAATTATTTGGCTTAGAATGTCAGTCGGAAAATTCTTGCCCCACCGTATTGTATGCGATAGTTGAATACAAATGTATTTTATTGTATAATCTATTTTTAGCACCTAAAACTGATTATACATTATAAGCGAATTGAGCGACTTGCAATTCATGTTCAATAAAGAATATAAATGTTCTTCTATGTATACGACCGAACCCTTACCCAGTTTATTCATCCGAAGCCAATTCCTGCTCTAAACGTTTCTTTATATGACCATAAAATGATTCAAAAATACCTCTATCCTTACCATTTGTCCATGAAACTGTCATTTTTGTTGCATCATTACTGTTATTCCAGGGTTCAAGGTGACAAGAAAAATCAAACAACGGTTCATCATTTGATGAGACGACCTCGACTGGCTGTTCTATTTGGCGTTCTGCTTTCATTAACCTCTGCCTTCTTGCAGCACGCGACCATGTGTTAACTTTCGCACTACCGGAGAATACTACAGTTTCTTCATTCCACTGCCAAGAAATTTCTAATTCATCAAACAGTTGCTGCAAGAATTCGGCAACATTATCCGGTTCAGCAGGCAACACGATACTGAACTCTGTTTTTGGCGGTGAAGCTTTACGAAGTTTTTTAGAGGTCGGTTGTGAAATATTCTAAAGTTATCGATAACGTAAAGGACGTTAGATCCTCTCAAGCCTCGAAAGTGTTGGCCAGATTCTGAAATATCTACACAGGGATATTCTTACCATAGTCGGTCTTTGACTTCCAAAAGACCACCCAATACCCCACCTTCGCGTTTTTCCTTGACAAAATTCTGTAACTACATAATTGTCAATCTTTAATATGATATTTATAAATGTTAGTATCGTAAATTGATTAGAAGATGTGAAATCAGTGATTCATACCCCATTTCTTTTTAACTCCCGAACGATCTTATTGACTGTCTCCATTCGACCAATTTTGGAAGTATACCATCTGAAATTTAAATCATATAATTTAAATAAAATTTAAAAATTAAGACTATGAATACGAGTATAACGCATACCGTATTTTATTTCTTAAGGTCAAACTTTCTTCCAAAATGTCCTTAATAAATTGGAACTCGCCACCCGGAAAAATTTTTTCGCGAGGTGAACCGGTACACACCTATTGGAATTCATTAATTTGAACAGAATGGTTCATATCCGATACGTACTAAGTAGAGAGTATTAGATAATTACTGATGTAGGAAATGACTGCTTAAGTTCTACACCTCTCTCATACTGTTCTTGACTTTCATAGAATGGAGGATTACACATGCAGAATGCAAACCTAAGTCCAATGTTAATAGATTTTCTTAATATACAGAATGAAATTACATACAAAATAAAATGTAATAATATTACTTAATATTATTATTAGATATCACTTCTTCGGAAAGTAAAATTTTTTTGTCGGTTTGATTGTGCACAACGGTAATTCTACCATCTAAATTATTTCTCTGCACATTTGACTCCGCATATTCTACTGTTTTTTTATCAATATCTTTTTTCGTTCATAAACAAAAGAATTAAGTCCATCATCATCATTTCCATCACGTTCCAAAAGTTTGGTTGCTTACCAGTCGCCAAAAATACCCAATTTTTATTTAATGTGCAACCCAACAATGGATAAATGCAGGAAGCACCTGTCCCACTATTGTGCATAAAGAAAGTGTATATTTAGTTTGAGTTAGATCTTTGCATAAAGTTTCAATTAGTAGCCTACATGTCTATTCCATATACAGATCGATCTTGCCGCATTTCTGTCGTTGATACCAAATCTTCGATCCAGTGAACGTAATTCAGTCTAATATTCCGTGGAATGAATAATAAATTAACAAAAGTCTTATTGGGATTTCCGACTCAATTTAAAAGAATGCTTTACCTATTTGGAATCTGTTTAAAAATTTTTTAGTAAATTTACCATTTCAGTGATCACGAAGTAGAAAGAATTATAACAAAGATCAAAATAAATGTTACCGGTGGGCATAACGAATCTAACGGGATTTCTAAAACGAGATTGAAATCATTACGTAATAGGCAATACGTGAGTTCCCTTGAATGAAGAAAGGCTTTAGCACCACATTGTTTAATAGTTAAAAATACGTTAAATTGTGTAAAAACTGCACCTAACAGCTTCTGGGTTCTTGAAATCAATGTACGGCTTTCCCTCTTTGGTATAATGCACGCTTAATGTTTTAATGAGAAGTTTTGTAATGGGAATTTTGAAATTTTGAAACGAGATATATGGCGGAGAAACATGAATAGTTAAAAACTTACTAAGGGTAAAATGAGGAATACTTGAATGCAAGTGCCGCAAAATCCGGAGGATTGCTTTTATATTTGTTGCGAGGGTGCATTTGCCCATGATTGCTTTCCCCGATATCCGTACTTTCATGAGGTCTTTTTCCCAAAACTCCTTTGTTTGATGACTCTGAAGTAGACATGATAACTTAAAGGTTGGTCAGTTCACGCATAAAAATCGATTTATGAAGACTGCAACACTGTAGCTCGAAAGAGATCTGCTGACATTCCCTAATATATCGAAATAAATTTAATCTACAATTTATTTATTTTTTTTTTTTAAAAAAAACAGACTAAAGAAATACAGTAACCAATATTATCATAAATCATTCAATTAATGTAAACTGTAATTATAAAAACTCGAGGAAGAAAATTGATTACAGAATTAGTGACGGAATCAAAGTTCGCTTATAAGGACATGAATCCTAGAGTTTAAGCGAGCTGAATTCTTTTTTCTTTTTTTATCCGTTACATTTATAAAGGTGTATCCTATGTTATTCAGATAAAAAATAAAAGTTTCATGGCAAATTGAAATTTTCATAAAATTATTGACTTGAGCATAATTTAACAAATAATTAATAAACTATTATTAATTTTATTAATTTTTGCAATTTTATAACTAATGAAAGATAAAAAAAATAATTTATTAATTAATCTTCTATATAAAAACAAATAATTAAGTATACAGTATAAATATTTTTAGATATAATTTGAAAATAAAAATATAATTAAATAAAAATAAAAATAATTATTATTTTTAGAAATTTCATAAATAAAAAAATTCTTATTAAATATATAAATAAATTGATATAATATACTGTATATATATTTATTTAAAAAAAATTTAAATTATTGATATTATTAATAATTAGTTAAATATAAAATAAATTTTATATTAAAAAAATCAATTGAATTAAAATTTTTTTTGAAATTTTTATTAAATTTGATAAGTATTAATTATATTTCATTATTGTTTATTATATTATATATACAGTATATAGTTCTGAAAATTAAAATTGAACAGATTTATATAAACTTGTATAAAATTCAAAACACTATTAAAAATAATGGTGAATTATAATTCACATATTAAATTTAATATAAATCTAAGAATCAAGAATCAAATCAAATCAAATTATTAGAATTCTTATATATATATAATATATTGTAAAACTTTTTAAAATTTTAATTAATAGTGAATTAAAAAATAAAAAAACTTTTTTATAAAAAATATATAATATTATTGTTATTAATAATTAAATTTTAAAATTATTCTATTTAAATTTATAAAGTTATAAAATTTTATATTTTATTTTTAATATTATTAAAAAAATAAAAAATTTATAAATTAAATTAATAAATTTTTAACTTTGTTATATTAAAATTTATAAAATTTTTATTTGTAATTAATTTTTAATATTTAAAAATTTAAAAAATATTTCTATATAAAATTTATATTATTGTAATTCTTAAGTTTTTTTTTTTTAATAAATAAATATTATTTCTTTATTATCTTTTTTTTTTTTTTTAATCGCAAACAGGCATTAAATGCGAAACTTTATTTAAACAATGAGTTTACCATCATTACATTAATAATCTTTGTAAAGAAAAGTACAAATTAATTATAGCCTATTGCAACTTGAACTAGCTACACAAATTTTCATCAAGTAGGTGGATTTATATAGATAGTACTGAATAACTAATGCCTATTCAGAACATTGAAACTATTGCTGGAGTAAATATTTGTTTGTTAGTAAGGTTGTTTGAATTTTGTAATGTGTTAAGTACTTTGATAAATGTTGAGTTGTTATTTTTCGTTAAGTTGTTGTTATCGTTGACGGTGATACTCGATGTTTTCCTCTATGTAATTTTTGAGGATGGTGAAGTTGTTAAGGTCGCAGATCATTGTTTCCAAGCTTTATAAAGGATTTTCAGAGCATAGTTAGAGATTTCCTCTCTCCCTTTTTGGATGTGATTGAGGTGGGGCTGATAGTTGCATGTGGCAAGATGAATTAGATCCTGACTTAATAAATTGGACGTGTTTCTCGAATTTGCCATTGTTGTGTTTTTATTGTTAGATTCGTGAATAAGTTTTTGTAGTTTGGATTTTTTTTTGTTAATAAGGGAGTAGTTATGTATGCAAGAAAAGACATGCGAAATGTCCTCAGTAAAGGCTTCGCACCTGGAACAAAGGTCATCAGTATATAGGTTAGGATATCTTCTGTTTAATTTTGATCTAGTGGAGAGCTGATTCGCTATGGTTTTGGTTCTGAAAGTAGATAAGGCTCTATACTTAAGTTGGTTCGGTTTTTTTAGTTTTCTGTTGGCTTTAATGATAGTTTCGAGATCGGGAAGCATTGAAGGCCTAAAACATGAAGTTTGACTTAGCAGGGTGTCGAATAGATTTGTATAAAAGTTGATGAACTTTATCCAGTAGACTATGCTGATGGCATGCTTGTTATTAATTAGCAGAGAGGTTGTGTGTATTGGAAAAGGAATTAGTGGAGGTATTATTGTTATAGGTGTGATGTTGTGTGGTGGAGGCTGTTCATTTTTGAGTTTGAGCCAGTGTATAGTTAGGTTTTTTGATTTGGCAATGTCATTGAAATTGTTAAATAAAGTGGCTATATGGAATTTTGATTCACCTGTTTATATAATCAGGCCCTGATAGATCAGGTATATTGTTTAAATATATTTTAATGATGGATGATTGAGAGATGTTGTTTATGGCTTGATAGAGTACTGGCCAGAAAGCGAACCAAAAGTTTGTATTTATTGCGTAGAGTGTTGTAGTATTAAGATTTAGGACAACTAAATTATTATTTTTGCTAGGGAAAATATGGATAAGCATTGGCATATTGTGTTGAGTATTGGTAATGATAGTAACTTGTGGAGTTGCCTGTAGAATAGGGTAAAAGGAGTCCTTGAGTTCGTTTAGATTGTTGAGAATGTAAGGAGTGTTGAGTCATTTGGTGAACCAGGTTAACTTGAGGTTTTCAATGTTTTTTTCTTTGAGGCAAGGTTGAATAGGACACGAGCATTTGTAAATTTTTTTTTGATTATCGATTATGTAGTGTTGGCCTATTATTGAGGTTGCCAGAAGTGCATTTGATCTAGTTTTGATTAGGTTAATGATTTGGTTGTCCAGATAGGCCCAGAATTTTCTTTTTGAGTTAGGAAGAAAAGTAGTGTTGCCAATTATGACATTAGATTGGACTGGGATGTTGGTAAACCATGATGGGATAGAACCTTGAGTTATAAAGCCTCTGTGGGTGTGTAACTCATCCCAAGAGAGTTTGTAACCTTTGTTAAGGAAGTATGTATTGTGAATAGTTTTAATATTAGAGTTTGAGAGGTAAAGGGTGGTTAGTTTGTTAAGTTTAGTTGTTAATCCTATGGAGTGTTCGTGATTTTGGAGGTTGAAAGGGCATGGGTAGGGGCAAATTCTGATTTTGTATCTTTTTGCAAGAATGGCTGTTGTGGTAAGCCATGAGTCAGAGAAGTAGTGTGATTGACATATGGGACAATACCAGATGGCGTGTGAGGCTTGGATTGATTAAATCTCTTTTATTGTGACTAGAATTTTTATGGTTGTGAGGTCTCTACGGTTTTTAAATTTGATAATGTTAAGGCCTGCCTGTGAGTAAGAAATTTTGTTTGAAATAGTGTGTTCGACGTCTAGCTTGATTTTAATGGACTTGTTCATTTTCATTTGTAGAATATTAATGTCATTGTCTAATGGAATTGCAGCTGTTATAGCATACTTGAGTTGTGCTGGTATGATCCAGTGTGATGCCTAACGAGTAATATGGCTATTCCAACCTTTTTGTGAAGCTATTGCGTTTGAGAAGTCACGGATTTTTTCACAAAGTTTTGCTTTGGTGGATCGGGTGGTTGATTTTCCAGAGAGATATATTCCAAGATACTTGATATAGTCATTGTGGCGCTTGGGAAATATTTGTTCATTTTCAATAAGTAAGAACTGTTTTCTTTTCTTTTGGGACTTTTTGTACTAAGGTTTGTGATAAGATCTGTTTTGTTTTTGTTGCATTTGATAGAATTGAGGGATAGAAAGGAGCAGAAGGTATTGGTGGCCAATTGCAGAGATGTCATGTTGTGGCTTGAAAGAGCCACGTCATCCATATATGCTAAATTTTTTGTGGATGGCTGATGTTCTCTTGTGATTCTGGTGACCATAGGGTCATAGAAGATTGTCCAAAGGAGTGGCGCGAGTGTTTCACATTGGTCAAGGCTTTTGCTGACTACTAAGGGGTCAGTTAGTTTATAGTAGGTTATTATTTTGAATTTCCTGTTATTGGGTAGATCTGAAATAATTAAGATGAGCTTCGGTGCGAGCTTGATGCATTTAAGGGCTTTGTATAGGCTTGACAAGTTAACAGAGTCGAATGCTTTGGAGATGTCAAAGAAGGTGATTCAGATTTCTTTGTTGCTATTATTGGCTATATTTATATCTGAAGTGATGATAGCGATGGGTTCTGTGGTGCTTTGGTTTTTGAGGCCTGCGAAGTTGAAACTGGAGAGAATATTGTTGTTAGTAATCGTTTGTAACAATCTGTTATTCATGATTTTAGTGAAAATTTTCCTGCTGGTTTCAATTAGGAAGATTGGTCGTGTGTCTGTGAGGTCATGTGATCAAATAATTTTTTTTGGAAGAAGTATAATAGCCGATTGCTTCCAAAATTTAGAAACTGTGTTTAAGTTTAATACTTTATTAAAGAGTATTTCAATGTGGTTTCTGGCTGGGGCACCGAGCAGGAATCATGCTTCATAAGGAATAAGTATCAAACCTGAAGCTTTACGTTTGGGTAAGTCATGTAAGGCACTGTCAATTTCTTGTTAGTTTATTTCTGATGTCACGTTGTCGAAGATATTGTCCGGAATATGTTTTATGGGAAGGTACTCATTGGTCCAGTCTGTGTTAAGATTGAAAGGGCTTGGGTTTAGTATTTTCTTGAAGTGGTTGGTGATTATTTCAATGAGCTTGTCTGGGTTATCATGAAGTTGGTTATCTTCTCCCTGCAGGATAGATAGATCAAGGGAGGGTTTTAAATCACCTAATGCTTTTTTGAGTGCGCTTTTTGGTTTGGACCAAAATTTTATATAATTTAGTTTATAGCTCTTT